TATCCCATTTTCCTTTGTGTTAGGTATATGACACCAATGAGCAAACTGTTTTCCCCCGATTACCAATGCCTTTAATTTTACTCTTTGATCCACATTCTGTTAAATGCTGTTCTGATATCAAAGCAAATCATGCTCATTTCTTTCCTTGAAGTCAGTTCTCTTCTCCATGTTTGGACCAAGGTCATAATGAGGGGTAGGAATCAAGTGGCTCTGCTGCAACTCAAACTGAGCAATGAGCAGGATATTGCTGTGTAAATGCTGGTTTATAGCACTGTCGATGCAACTCTCCATCACTTTGCAGATGTTTAAGAAGAGACTAGACAGGCGATAATAATTAGCCGAATTGCATTTGTCTTACTTGTGCAGACAGGACATATCTGGGCATGTTCTGCGCTGTCAGGTAGATGCTTATGTTTTAGCTGTGCTGGAACAGCTTGGCTGAAGGCTTGTTAATTCTATTTTCTAATGCTACATGATATAAGGGCTACATTTACATGCTGGCTCCTCATGCTTACATCACCGAAGGTTCTTCCTTTATTCCGACAACAGAACTTCAGACCCACAAAAACATGTATCTTTAATTCTGCTATGAGGATAAGGGAGCCATTTTTACCAATGTAATAGTAAGATGCCAGTGCACAGTGTTCTGCAATTCAACCTAGGAAATTAGAAGACATAAATCAGTCTCGCCATAGCCCTTTTTCATCAGTGACTTTTCTTATAAGGATGCAGTGAAGTAAGAACAATCAAACTGATTTAGAATTTCACCTCTCCAACAAATAATGTTCCAGCCAAAACTGCCCCCCTATTTGTGAAAAGCATTGTTACCTTCTTTTGGCTCTTATTCTAGTGGCCTTCATGTCGCTCACTCTTAAAATGAAAGCCTGCTTTTTCACATATATGCATGCTTCATCCGTTGGCACTGCCTATTTTTAAGCACTTACCTTTCATGATGATCTGATGCTCAGGCAAACTAGTGCTTTAGCATAGATGCATCATGATCAAACTGACTTTCCCATTGGTCAATCGAATGATTAATTGCACAGCACTTGTTCCTTGGCAGTTATATGAAACAGCTGTAAGGATCAGTACTATTATGCACTGTCATTTATATATTTTTTATTAAAGCATTAAAAATATTGAAGAGCAAAGCTTCATCTGCAGCAAAATTACTAACTCAACATGGCTCAAAAGCAACAAAATCATTTGTTAAATTAATGTTATGTCAAAATAAAGCTAGTATTATATATTTGATAAGTTATACTTTTCCATCATTTTTAGAGTGAAGGAAATATTTTTCGCTAAAATTCGTGAATTGAAGAAAACAATGTCTTTGTGTCAGTGAGTGTGTTCCTGCAGCTGCCGTATCATTGAATCCTTACAATGTGGAAGCAGGCCATTTGGCCCATCAAGCCCACACCGATACTCCGAAGAGCATCCCACCCAGACCCATCCCGCTACCATATCCCTTTAATCCTGCATTTCCCATGGCTAGTCCATCTAGCCTGTGCATCCCTAGACACTATGGGCAATTTAGTATGGCCATTCTACCTAACCTGCACATCTTTGGACTTTGGGAGGAAACCAGAGCACCCGGAAGAAACCCACGCAGACATGCTGAGAATGTGCAAACTCCACACAGACAGTCACTCAAGGGTAGAATCAAACGCTGGTCCCTGGTGCTGTGAGGCAGCAGTTCTAGCCACTGAGCTACCATGCTGCACCAAATCTATTGTAATGTCAGTGCACATTTAATGGAATACCTTGGGAAATGGAATAAATGGCCCTTTGCTTGCTCACCTACACTGGCCATCATTCTAGTAACACCTCAATTTTAAAATTTGTGACCACATTTCAAATCTGACCACCACTGGGCCTTCCCCTATCTCTGTAATTTCCTCCAGACCTACAACCATCTGAGATATCTGTGCTCATCATTCATTATTACATTAAATGTCTGATGTCCACAAACATTTAATTCAAAGTAATCAACAGTTGGACACATCATCAGTGTCGTAAAACAATCTGTGATAACTTTTACTAATTATTGACAAACAGATGAAAAACCATGGACTTGCTAATAAGATGCCTTGAACAATTTAGAAATGTTTTGTCTGTTTTGTTTTCCAATCACTTTCAGTATTTTCTTTTTAAAGATTACAAAAACCGTAGAAGGATTTTTAAAAATTTTATTACAGTTGTTCTCATCTGCGGTTATATGCCCTATTCAAAACTACTCCACAGTCAAGAGTATAGTGCTCTGTAACTGAGCTTTTGAAAAAGATTTTTTTTGAATTATATCTAGTGAAAAACATCCTTCAATACTACTGCATTGGCTTCATAAGGGTTCAATGACTTTTACAGAATTTACTTTCGCAGAAACAATGCAGACCTTACCAGGTTTTTCATTGGCGTCAGCAGTTCTTTGGAAGACTCTGCAAATTTACTGAAAGCTTCAGCCAGTACTGACTCTTCACTACTTTGGAAATTAGCTACAAGTTTTTCCAACTCATTAATGAATGTTTCCTGAAGGGAAATGTCTTCTGCAAAAGTAGATAGGAAAAACTGGAGTTATTTCAAGACAACAATGGCTTACAGGAAGGAGCTTGAGAAAATTACAACCACATAGGAGTAGTACTTAGCAAATTGGGAACAATTCCCCAGGCCCTGGTGGTTTTCATCCAAGGGTCTTAAATTAAATTGACTTATGAGATAGATGATGCATTGCATTTAATATTTCAAAATTCACAAGGTTCAGGAAAGGTTTCATTAGAGTGGAAACTAGCTAATGTAATTCCAAAAGTGAGGAAGACAGTAAAGAGCAGTCAGTCAGTTTAACATCTCTCACAGGAAAATTCTTAGCAGTTATTATTAAATATGTCACAATAGGGTACTGACATAAATTCAAGGTAATAAGGCAGAGTCAACACAGTTTTGTGAAAGTAGCTCATGTTCAACCAATTTATTGGAGATTCTGAAGAAGTAACATGTGGTGTTGGTAAAGGTAATCCAATAGATGCACTGTACTTAAATGTTCATAAGGCATTTGATAAGTTGCCACATCATAAGTTATTGTGGAAAATAAAAGCTCATCATACAGGGGTAACATACTGGCAGGGATATGAAATTGGCTAACCAACAGGAAACATAGAAAGGACAAATGTGTCATTTTCTGGTTGGCACAACATAATGAGTGGTGTGTGACCTCTACTCTTTACAATCTATATAAATAACTTAGAAGAAGGGATTAAAGGTATAGTTGTTAAATTTGCTGATGACACAAAGATAGATAAGAAAATAAATTGTGAAGAGAACATAAGGAGGCTACAACCAGATATAAATACCTCAGATCAGTGGAAAACAATCTATAAAATGGGGTATAATGTGAAAAAATGGGAAAATGTGAAATTGTCCATTATGACAAGAAGAATAAAACACAAGTATGTTTTTTCAACGGTGAGACATTACAGAACTCTGAGATGCAGAACGATCTGGGCGTCCAAGTTGTGTGAATCATAAAAGGTAACTATGCAGGTACAGTAAGTAATTAGGAAAATTAATACAGTGTTATCATTTATCATGAGGGAATTGAATACAAAATAAGGAGGTTAAGCTTCAACTACGCAAGGCATTTGTGACAGCACATCTGGAGTACTGTGCACTGTATCCATTTCCCTCTTTAAGGAAGGGTATAAGTGCATTTGAGGCCGTTAAGAGGAGATTTACTAGATTAATATCTGAAATGGACTAGTAGTTTTATGAAGTGAAATGGACTGTTTGTCATACAAGTTAAAACTAGACAGGCTGGCCTCAAATCTGTTCAGGTTTAAAAGAGTAAGAGATGATTTGACTGAAATATACTAGAGATCCTGAGGGAACCTGACAGGGTGGAAGTGGAAAGGATGCTTTCTTTGCTAGGAGAATGGGTCACTGTTTAACAATTTGGGGTTGCTCATTTAAGGCAGATATAAGAATTTTCTTTTCCTCTCTGGCAGTTGAGAGTCTTTACAATTCTCTTCCCCAAAGACAATGAGGACTGAATCTTTGAATATTTTTAAGACATAGATAGATGGATTCTTGTTAAGCAGAGCATTGAAAGTTTATTGGGGGTCGGCAGGAATTTGAAGCTGAAGTTAAAAATCAAATCAATCATGATCTTATTCAATGGTGGAAAAGGTTTAAATGGCTAAATGGTCCACTCAGCCTCCTAATTAGTATGTTCATATAAAGTCTTTGGTGTAGGACAATGAGTACAAATGTATGTTTTCACAAGAGAATAAGTAGTTCACTGAAATGTTTGGTTTTATAGAAGATTAAGTGGGTGAAGGGATTTAAATGTTTGAATGGGATTTTATAACTGACTTTGTTAGAATTAAAATCTACATTATAACATCATTTTATTTCAACTTAGCATGGCTTCTGATGTCTGCCCATGGTGAATTTTGGGTATATTGGTATGGATGGTGTAAGTGCAGAGAGGTGGGTAGGATAGTGGCATCTTTAATATATTCATAGAATATTCATAGAATCTCTACAGTGTGGAAACAGGCCCTTTGGCCCAACAAGTCCACACGGACCGTCAGAGTATCCCACCCAAATCCATCCCCCTTTAACCCCCCACTAGCAATTTAGCATGGCCAATCCACCTAGCCTGCACATCTTTAAACTGTGGGAGGGAACCGGAGCACCCAGAGGAAACCCACGCAGACACGGGGAGAACGTGCAAACTCCACACAGACACACACCCGAGGTGGGATTGAACCCAGGTCCCTGGTGCTGTGAGGCAGCAGTGCTAACCACTGAGCCACTGTGCCACCTGTTGGAAATTATCTTATAACATTATTACAATAATTTTTTTTGATTATATGGAGAGCTAATGCTCTTAGGCTTATTATTTACCTTGACCTGAGGTATATCTCACTTTGACTGCTTTCTTCATTTTCTGGAGTACAGACCTGTCTTTGTCTAAACTCTAAGGAAAGAAAATAAAACACAAGGAGGAAACATCAGGCTATTGAAATATTAGTACTGTCAACAACAGTTTTTATTCTTCAATTGTGGATTATATACAAGTGAGGTAGTAAATAAAGGAGTGTCGATAAACAAAGCTTGAGCAGTTTGCGCATCACAAGACTTGTGCTAATCCATGTGACTCAGATATGGGTGGGAATTTCCACAGACCTTCTGGCACATTCCTACTTTAAATTGGTTGCAAATGCAGCAGAAGGCTCAGGAAATAGATTAAGAAGGTTACACAGATAGGGGTTGTTGAAGGCCATGGAGGGATTTGGATAAAAGAGTGAAAATTTTAAAACTGATTAAGGGACATGATCATAGGGCTGATGGGTGCTAGGGTGACTTTAGATATGGGAAGTATAGCTCAGGATGACCTTAAGTTAATGGACAGTGAAACACTGGAGGGTGGCAAGCAAGCATTGGAACAGTACAATCTTGAAGAAATTGCAAGTGCTCAGACAATTCCTATATACCTTTATTCCCCATTCAGTCAAGCCATGTACTTAATCTATTCTTAAATGTTAACATGATCTCTGTTTCAATCACTAACTTCAATAGTGCATTTCACAGCCTCACAACATTCTATTTTAAGAAGTACCTCTACCCTCCTTTAAATTGCTTACATTTGATTTTACATTCTATAAAAACAGAACAAATTTTCCAAGATAGTAGGAACTGCAGATGCTGGAGAATCCGAGACAACAAGGTGCAGGGCTGGATGAACACAGCAGGCCAAGCAGCATC